AAAAAAGTACCGTGTCCGATGGCTGCGTAACTACTGTTGTATGGGATGTGCTGTGGATTGGTGCGCGGTCGTCCCACCCAGGATGCTTTACCCGGATTCGTTGCACTCCCTGGCCCCGATGCCAGAGAAGACGCGAACGCTACGAAACATCCTTGCATTTATTATTTCATTTGTCATTCTTTTTAAGCAGTTGTTTGTATTTGTTTCTTTGCTCAAGCTTCTTGAGTTCTTAATGCTCCTGTACCGTCGCAGCGTTAAGTTTCTAGGTTTCCTGAACCCCACAGATTTGGTACAGTAGCTGCTCATATATGTTGTCCGGAGAGTGTAGTGCCATCTTTGAAAGTGCGATTTCTCGGCATTTCTGATCGTGCCTTTGCCGTCACTAAGGAGGAGTAACACCAGGGGGGAAAGCGCGACGAGGGCTCAGATGACCTTTCGCAGTTCAACCAGATTTTTGCAGCATAAGCGTGTTCTCGAAGCGTTCCGTTTGTTAAGTGCCCACAGTAGCCGCTGGAACTGTCTTTGAGTTTACTGAGGAGCTTGGGGAAAAAATCATACGTGGTATTTTTCTTGTGCCAGGGAACAGCTGTCGCTCGCGATCGCTGTTTCCGTTTCGGAACAAAACTCTTACATTATTAGCTTTTATCGTTTACATTATCAGTTCTTATCACCTGATGCACACTTTACAGCCAGTTTTCATGCATCCTATGATTTCTGATCACTATTATTACCGATATTATTATTACCATCATTATTATTATTATTATCGTCATTATTATGATTATTATTATCAAGTTACTTTAATGGTTGTGCGGATTGACCGGTTGTTGCAAGCAACATTGGAGATGTTCGGTGAAGCCATCCATCCATCGTTCGGCTTCACAGCTGGTGCACTGCATTTCTCATGCTCTTTTTTGTATTGTACACAATTGTACTTCTGTTGTTTGTGCCCCTGTCGCGCTCTGGAGGCGATCCTGTTTACGAGTCTCGTCCACAAAACGGTCATTTTCTAAAAATTTTTAAGCAAATTGCATAATTTTGCTTCTGAAAAGTTTCTTCGTCTTCGTATAGACAGTGCCTGTTGAATGAATGCATCTCGCCGAATGCTGCTGCTTTGTGTGAGTAAAGTGCTTTTCTCGCCTCACCAGTTTCTCAGTAATCCATTTTTATCTGTATTTTCATATTTACTGCGTTGCAGTGTGCTTATATAATTGGAATACACATGCACGCAATGGCCCGGCCCCGAAACCAGCCCCGGAAAGTCCTGTGAGTGAGCAGCCGGCTCGTGATGGATAGAACAGTGCGCTAGTAGCGTGTGTTGGATTTTTAAATCGGCCCGTACTGGATGCATCTCGTGGAATTGTCACGGAGCGGGGAGGGGGGTAACTTCGCCGATTGTGTGGTTGATCTTATTCTTGGATGTATCATGTACTCTCCGTCTCTTTGAAAACTACTGATTCGAGGAGAGCCTACTTCCTGGTGGAGTTCCTCTTAATTAGCCGCCGTTGAAGCGCTGCGAGCTTCGAAACCGCTTATACACCGGGAGGTGGCAACAGTTCGTATGATGCTGCTGTATTGGGGCCGCCATTTTGCCCCAAAGTGACATGTTTGCATACAGTCGGGCGCTCAATATGTTGGCTTTTGCAGGAGCGGTCTGGGCGAGGGCAATGTTTGTCCCATGTGGTACCAACAGCCTTCCAGCTAGGCTCTCTGTCCGTGTTATTTCAGCACGTGGCTTGCCTGTAATGGATAAGTCGAATGTTACTACGGATGCTTTCGTCGAAGTGCATTTCGATAACGAGGTGAGTGCTTTCCACAAAACAGCGGAATGTAAAAGCGAAATGTAGGCAAAAAGCTGTGTACTGCGTTAGCTTACGTGATAGTGCTTAATTTATAAGCTGCGTTTTATTGGATAAGGGAGATTAATAATGATATGAGATATAAAGTTATACTAAAGAATTAGATGAACAGGAAAATTTCGGCCCATTAAGTCATATACATCAATATTATTCAGCCCATAACTGGAACATAAATTTGTGTCGAAAAAAAGAAACATGATTTTAAGAAAGAAAAAATAAGAAAGAAAATCACTGTGTTAGGACCTTTTGGACAGAATATATTAAATTGAAAAATGCCAGT